CTCTGTCTCTCCCTCTCGCCCCATCTCTCTGTCTCTCCCTCTCGCCCCATCTCTCTGTCTCTACCTCTCTCCCCATCTCTCTGTCTCTGCCTCTCTCCCCATCTCTCTATCTCTGCCTCTCTCTCCCATCTCTCTCCCCACCTCTCTGTCTCCCTGTCTCTGCCTCTCTGTCTCCCTGTCTCTGCCTCTCTGTCTCCCTGTCTCTGCCCCTCTGTCTCCCTGTCTCTGCCCCTCTGTCTCCCTGTCTCTGCCTCTCTGTCTCCCTGTCTCTGCCTCTCTGTCTCCCCGTCTCTGTCTCTCTGTCTCCATCTGTCTCTGTGTATATATGTGTATCTTTATACACACACAGACACAGAGACATATATACACATTTATATACACGCAGACACACACATTTAGCCACAAGAAAAAGGAGAATCGGCGAGGATAGTTAGTCTCTCTCTTAACCCAGTGTCTATAAAATTGAGAGGGAAAGAAATACGGACTCAAGAAACAGACATGGTGCTGGCAAGAAGCTCCATCTGGATAGAAAGTATATGGGTAGACATGTACAGAGAGCAAGAAAGCAAGCCTAGGTCCACAAGAGAGCCCGGAAAGGTCTTTGGCAAGCAGCACTGCACAGCTTTGCTCTCCCGCCAGCAAAAGCTGTACAGGGAAAGAGCCGCATGTGCCCACGGCTGCCTGCAGCAGGTGGTATGTAAGCACACGGCAGAGGGAACGGACCAGACGGCGTTGGTGTGGACTGAGGCTGGTCACAGACCACCTCCTTTCTGCCCAGCAGCATCTGCAGCCCCTCGTACCCACAAGACAGTAAGGTATCGCACCGAGGAAGGTGAAGCCTAGAAAACATAGGGCTGGGTGCGAGGTACAGATGCGCTGTGAGGCAGTGTCCAGTGTGGTGGGGCAAGTCCAGAGGATAGCAGGCCAGAGCATTCTCTTCTTGCCTTCCCTAAATCCTAACAAACCCAGGCTTCCCCTCTAGTCTTCCCATCATCCCTTTCTCTATCAAATTCTTATGTTCGATATATATGTGTGTATGTATGGAGGCTTTTGAGCAGCACATCTCTCTACCACTGAGATATACATCGACTCTTTCACTAACCTATAAACACTGGCATACAAGGAAGCTGACTGCACCCTCCCCCCAAAAAATATGTATTCAAAGGAAACAATAACTTGACATCTGGGGACTAGAGCCACTCAAACAAAGGCAACAGGCAGGACAGCTTGTGACAGAGAAAGCAGAGGTAATGAACAGGAAACTAAGACTACCTACCAAACATGACAGATATCCCAAAAAAAGATAAGTAGCCTTAAAAAGGATGGAGGATTTTTTTTTAACTAGTAACATGAACAGGGACACTCAGTTATAAAGGCCCAGTGGGAAGCACTAGGCATGAAAAACGAACATAAAAAGAAAGTCAGCCTTTCCTTACTATAAATAGTACTGCTGCAAATGTGTCACATGGACTAGATCCCGAACCCTCAAAAGCAAGTCCATAAGTCGGCGAGGGTGTCCCTATTCTGTAGATAAAGGCTTCAGAAACTCACAGAGCATGCCACTGAACCTGTATTCCGTGCTTTTATCAGTCGTGTTAAATAGTGAAACAAACATAATTCAAAAGAAATCAGAGATCTAAAAGACCAGGTTAAAGAAAGAAAAGATGCAAACAAAATTAATAAGAGCAGAATTAGTAAGGGCAAAGTGACAGGGGCCAGGGCCAGGGGCCAAGACTTGTTCAACAGGGGCCCCTGCAGGAGAAAAGGTGAGGGGCATCTTTGGAAAAATAGCTGAGAAGTGCACCTTATTAAAGAGGGCCTAAGGAGCAAAAATACAATGATCAGCCGCCACTGGGGTCTCAAGGATGTGGCTAAAGAACACACACACACACACACACACACACACACACACACACTCAGAGCGGTCATAAAATTTATAAACACCAAAGCAAAATTTGAAAAAAATTTAGAAAGAAAACAATGCTATGAAAAGCTTCCAGTGAGAACGCATCTCCCAAAGAATGAGGAGCCAACTGTGAACAGTTTCTCCCTAGAAATACTAGACTAAGGAGACAACAACCCAACACTAACCAAGTGCTAAGGGAAAAACTTCCCAAGTTAGATCTGTATCTTCAGGGACGGGGGTGGGGGGGGGGGGCTAGTGCTCAAGTATGAGAAAGATGAACAGTGTTCCCAACTGCCCACGCTCTGAAAAGCTCTCACCGCATGAATGGCTTCATTCAAATTTCCCTGGGAGGAAATGCTGCAGTCGGAAAAGAGGCAAATACAAGACAGTGTTGTGTGACATATGGGAGTGAAAGTACCCTATCGTAACTTTGTAATAGCCAGGCCCATGAAACAGATAACATTCAGGATAATTCTAAAGTAAGGAACTGGGAATAACTGTCATGTGATGGAGTAAGGAGGAGGAAACAGAATGGCGGGGGATGAGCTAAGTGATGCTAAGAGAGGAAAGGGTATTGATGAGTTAGCAGCAATTACCAATAGGAAAGAGAGAAAACGCAGCCTGGGAGGATGGCTTACCCAGGAAAAGCACTCCCCACAAACCCCTGAAGACCTGAGTTTAAACCACAGATCCTGCATAAAAAGTCAAATGCAGAGGCACGTATGTACCTGTAAGACAAACGCAGCATTGAGGGGAGGTAGAGACAGGAGAATCAGCCAGAATGTTCAGGCCACCTAGCCTAGAGCACACAGCACAGTAAAGGAGGCTTGGCCTCAAAGCAAGGGGGAAGGAGAAATGACTTTGAAAAACGTTGACCTATGACCTCCACTGCACACTGTGGCATAAGTGTATACTTTCTTCTCTAACCCCACTCTTAAAAGGGAAGGGGCTGGAGAGATGACTAGCAATTAAGAACATTAGCTGCTGTTCTCCCCAAGGACCTGGATTCAAGCCCTAGCACCCACAGGGCAGCTCACAACCGTCTGTAACTCTAGTTCCAGAGGACCTGACCCCTCTTCTGGCCTCCACGAGCACTGCATGCATGTGGTACATAGCCGTATACCAGGCAAAACATCTTTGCACACACAAGTTTTAAAAATGAAAAAAATTGCCAGATGTACATGCCTTCAATCCCAGCACTGAGGAGTCAGAGCAGGTGGATCTCTAAGTTTCAGGTCAGCCTGGTCTAAATAGTGAGTTCCTGAACAGCGAAGGCTACATAGTGAGCCTGTCTTCAAACAAACAAACACAACAAAGAAGAGAAAAAGAAAATTAATTAAAAGATAAAATGCACAGCTGACAAGCAGAAGACAGTTCTAATAGTTAGAAATATGGGGGAAAAGGCAAAACATTTAGTCTAAAGAAAACATAAGAAAATAAGGTACCTAAAACACACAAAAAACGGAACATACATTAAAAGATGTTTCAAATGCACCCATAAAAAGACATGAACTTCCATATATGAGTTTTTAAATATTAGCTATCAGACCCACACATAAAACACACACATACACAAACACACACACAGAGAGAGAGAGAGAGAGAGAGAGAGAGAGAGAGAGAGAGACAGAGAGACAGAGAGACAGAGAGAGAGAGAGAGAGAGAGAGAGAGAGAGAGAGAAAGGCTGAGACGAAGGGAGAGCAAATATAAACCAAAGAAAGCTGAAGAAGCCAGGGTAATATCAGAAAGGGATGTACTGATAACACAACCAGTGTATTACCAACAGACACCTATCAAGTACGCACTGTTAAATCTGGAGCAACAACTATAGAATAGTAGAAATAGAAAAACTGAACATTATAGAGAAAAGCTTCTGGGATACTAACAGATGACAATGACCGCACAGACTTTTATTTTATTTTATTTTATTTTATTTTATTTTATTTTATTTTATTTTATTTTTTGGTTTTTTGAGACAGGGTTTCTCTGTGTAGCCCGGGCTGTCCTGGAACTCACTCTGTAGACCAGGCTGGCCTTGGACTCAGAAATCCGCCTGCCTCTGCCTCCCAAGTGCTGGGATTAAAGGCGTGCGCCACCACCGCCCTGCTGCACACAGACT